GTCTTTATAATAGTAGGAAGTTGATTAATTAGTAATTAAAGTGCGTTGAATGACTCCACAAATACTTTATGCAAATTAATTATTAGCTTTGATGCGGATGTGATTTTACAAAAAAGTCTTTTTATTTTACTCTTTACTCCTTCTATAACGTTCTTTAAATTATTGAGCTAATTTCTTGATTTAGCAAGTCTGTTTTTAATTACATGAATCGCATTGTGTGGGAACGAGTGTTGACCAATATTTGGTCACATCAGTCATCACTATTCTTAGGTTCTATTTCGATGTGGTGACTTAGTCGGCGGTGTTTTGGTCTACTAATAATTGTTCCTCAATGTACTATGGCAGTGTGATCCCAATATCTAATATATCTAACTCATTGTGCTATTTCACTGTCTTTCCTTGTTTCGCAATGCTTAAACCGCTCCTCCAATGGGGTTTTTATTTTGTCGCTGAAAACACTTTCAAAGGCGATTAAAAGCGTCCGAGTGTAAGCGCGTACACCTCGGATGTATCGGGCGACGCGTGTGCGCGCAAGTATCGGCCGCCGTCGATATGCACACGGTCGCGTTTGGCCAGTGACCCCCTGCGGGTATCGCGACGACCGCGCGCATTCCGCCACGCGATTTCCGCGTGAACCGGAGCTCGCGGCACCACGCGCCATCAGGCCGATCAATCGGCCGCTCGCACACACGACCGTCGTTTTGTCACGCCCGACGCCGTGCTCGTACACCTCCGTCTGCGGCCGGGCCGCAGCCGTGTAATAATAATATGGTAATTAGCCGGTTGTCGGCCGTACACGGGAGAGCTCTACACAGGTAAGTTGACAGAGACAGACAGAGAGTGAGAGAGAGAGAGAGAGAGAAAACACCGCAGAGACCACGATGCTAATGAGGACCACGACGCGCGCGGAGATGAGGCCACTGTGATGGGTAAACACGGCAAGCCGGCCCGTTGCGGAAGCGGTTTCGTGTCGTCACGGTAGCGGCTCGACCGACACAATCGAGGGACGCAGATCTAAAAGTCGCGGGACGAACGGGCGACGCGACGACGACACGCAATTAACGATTATTCACACAAGCTTAAACGTCGCAGCAACGGCGTACACACGTTCCGTACATGATAACGTATAGGTACACACTCGGTACTTGGCAAGCTTGCGCATCGCGTCCACTCGCAGTTTATTGTCTGCATAGTTGACCTCGAATTATTGCACCCCGTCAAGAAGGATACTGTAATTCGGCAACTCACAACATTTAACTAGTGGTTGAAAATTATTAAAAACATGTTGATTAAAAAAGTCAGCTTTTTTGAAAATTTGAAAAAAATCGTAAAACACAAAATATTAACTTATGGTTCAGAACTTCAATGACCTAATATGTAAAAATACAATTTGTTTTCATTATTTATTATCACTACAGTTGTCTTCTTTACAATTCACAAATCTTTACAAGTCTTAAAAGTCTTTACAAGTCTTGTAATTATTTTTCCGAAATAAATTAAACCTACAACGACTGAAAATAATGTAATAATAATAATACTTCCTAAAAAATATATCTGAAGTCGATAAGAATTTTTTCGTTGCGATTTTATGTTTTTCCAATTTAAAACTGGCAATTTAACATCACAGAATTATAAAGGAAGAAAGAGTGAAGCTATTTTTATCCTAGCGCATTACTCCACCTCTCGTATTAAATTTAACAGTATTTCTTTTTAGGTGTATATTGAATGGCCATAAACGAACATTTTCTTAAAAAATTGTATACACGTTTGGCTAACATTATATATGCTAGCTAAACTAATATAACGTCAACGGTTAAAACGGTTCGGTGGGTAATCATCCCTAGAGCGGCGAATGTTGAGGTAGGTTAACGGCTGGCGACCATATTTTGATACACTCATCCGAAACACAATAGGATGGTTGGGTACTCATCCCACTTCTTTTCACTTCTCCCACCCTTATTGACAGCGGTGTGCGGTCGGATAGGTTAGATTAGGTCTAAAATACAATTTTAAGCACATTTATGTCTTCTCAATCCTTTTATCAATACCAATTTATATTTTACCATTTACAGTTATACAGACTGAGATGGTTAAAGCATTTCATGAGGAGAGAGTAATCGGAAGCAGTAAGAATGGCAATGAAAATAAACGCAGGAGAAAAGAGGGGAAGAGGAAGACGGAAAATGAGGTGGTTGGATGCAATGATATGAATGATAAGTCCTCCTATGCTTGAGTATAACGAGGATGATGTGGGAGATCGCATTAAGTGAAAGTTTCGGGCAAGGGTGTCCGACAGGCGACAGTTCACATCGAAGCGTTTATTTGAATGTAATTTTATCAGCCAATCATTAGTTTGCACTAATTTTTGTTTTAGATATGTGAATGAGATTGGTCAACGCTTTAGTGACTGTAATAATGTTATTGTCTTATTTTATTCCGTTTTTCATTTCTCTAACCCTAATTATTTTAATCACAATCGTTCCTATTTAAATACATTACTTAAAAACTATCGACATTTTAATTGAATAGTGTGTTCTATTGCTGCAATCTGAATTTTTTAAATCCGTTACAATCTTCATACCAAATCGTAATTTAAACCAAAGTGGTGAGTTACTTATTTTTTCTATTTCCAAAACTTTAAATTAAATTCCTTATGCTTTTCCAAAAACTAAAAATAATTACAGTAACCAACATCCAGTTATCGCTTGACAAAAGAGACATATACATATATATAATATATTTGTTGATTTTAATGGAAAAATGTAATGATGTTTTTTTTTTTTACTTATTTATTTAATATTTTGTTGTATTTTGTATACATACTGAAGTGCATTATTTTTTGCATCCCTCTTTCAAAAACTGAAATGGCACCACTGCTCGTAGGTTCTCATAACAGTAATCGTCGACTGTCGAGTTGGCTTACAACTTTAACTCTGCTTCTCAATTAGCCAACTATTAAATTATAATATCTTTTAGTGAATACATATTTTTAATTTTACATCAAAATATTTTTAACAAAGTGTGGCTATTATTATTACTCTGGTAAACATTTTGTTTTCAATTTTTCTTTTTCTCTAATTTGTTAATGTACTATATGCCACGGATAGATCGAAACAGTACGCCGAGTGAACTTGTTAATATGATAGAGGTACTCTGTACACGTTGTTATAATATACGTGGACGCATATATATATATATATATATATATATCATCGAAGTATATTATAGTGTACATGCAGTGTAGCTGTTTAGGTAGGTATGTGCACAGTGCACTTCAGGTACGACGCGCGGTTGTTGTGGGTTTTGCGTTGCAGCAAGCCGCAGCAGCTGTCGAGCGCGTGTCATTCCGCCGCTGTCGGGTCTGTGTTTTCCGTTCAAACAAATTATTATAATCCGTGTCGCCCCGGTTACATCGGAATCGTGATTGCATGCACACGCGAGCCTGCATTCGCCGTATATAGTACACACACACACACACAAGCAAGGCGCGCGCGCTTAGCTTAAGACGATGATGGGACCTCTCAGAGTTATGGTCGGGTCATGACGTCTGTTTATATATATATATATGTGTGTGTGATAATAATATAATGTCGTCCGTTCGTGCGTCGTCTCGTTGCGGTTCGCAACGACATTTACACGGTTGGGTATATTTATATATAATAATAATACGGACGTTTAATATATTATATTATAATATTATATATACTTATACAACATTTATGTTATATTATTATTGTATTTACAAAGTGGACGCCGAACATTCCACATGTAGCACGCGCGATCCGCCAACGAGACGGATGATACTTGGCCCCGATATTAACGCGCGCATTAGGTATACCGCTGAACCTCAAACATTGTGAACAAACTAAATAAGATGAAATGCATCAAGCCTCTATAATATTATTTCATTAATACGAAAAATACAAGTAAAATGTTTAACGAAATTTGATAATGTTCCATTCATAAAAGCTAGTCGGGTACTCAATCAAATTTCTTGTTTTACCAACCTATCGTTTTTTTTTTTATTGAAATGTTAACAAATTGTACTGTTTTTACTTACAATTTCATCGTATAAACAATGATGTTACAAAATGTATTAAATACATTTATTTAAGTGTTTTTATCAAAATAGGTATACATAATTAGGTAGTTTAAAAAATGACAAAAAATATTAGAGGGCACCAATATAATATACATTATATATAAAATAGATTGTGGTTTTTGGTAGAACGAGAGACATATTCGCGAATCAGTAAAACATATCATATCATGCTACGATGACTATAAATAGTTGACAAAAATTGACGTGATGGTATAGTGTCTTTTCATCATATTTGGATTAAATATGCCACAATATTAAATGTATTAATTATCTTTAATAGCACCGGCAATTTGGGAAGCTAATTGCAACTTCCCATTATTTTCCTTACAATAAGCTATCCCGCATAAGTTGAATAAGCTATCCTAAATATCACTGATGTCCATACTTTGGTTACGAGGAGTAGTGCTAACGCCGGGAAGACACCGGGAACTTTGAATTATCTACCCAACTTCCTTGTCTAATAATGTACATGATGTTTACCCGTCGTCGGTGGCCCTAAATACGCATAATAAAATATAGTCGGCTAGGGCCTATGAGAGAGAATATACATTCACAGAGAATACTTCTGTGTGTCACTTTCGAAAATAATATTATAATGAGCAATTACATGAAATACATTTTTGATTTATGGTGTTATCGAAACATTACTAACCAAATTACAGAGCTCCCCGGACAAAAAAGTTGTGACTAAAGGGAGAAAATAACAATTAGCACACAGGTTCTTTATATCATTATAGATTGTAGTTTGTTGCAGTATGCCTTGAGCGCCCCAAGTTTTTCATATCGTCATTTTTTAATTGCAGCACCATTATTAATTTGAATAACTGCAGTAATAAATTAGTTAATATAAGAAATGAAAACACATTTTATGTAATTATATATAACCATTGATTTTATTCAATTATATTCGTTAACGACTACAAATACTCAAGAAATTAAAGGTTTTTTGAAAATATTGTATTTATATTTCAACAAAAATCTGTCTGTGTGCCATACAACAACTGTTGCTCCGAATCGTTCTTATGAAATTCTTCTTCTGCCCCATTGTAGACCTCCTGTGTGACTTTCTTTTGGTAAAATGTCTGTAATAAAAATAAACCACTTCAACGTAAAATTTTTAAATGTTTTTATAAAGGTCAGCTATAATTAGCTGCATATGTATTGGTTTATAATTATTACAAGCTACGGTTATACTCTGACGAAATATCTGTAAACCATTATGACTGAACAATAATTCAAATTTAGTAACTTATACACTTTAATATCACCTGGTTTTCTTCAAACATTTGTACGTCATATGAACTCATTTTTTTAGATTCATTTTCTAAATATTGTGTCTACAAACAAAAATAATTAATAAACAGTTGGGACTCATATTCCTTATGTTTTTTTGGAAGACTGGATTACATACAAAATATAGTTAAACGTTATACTATAAAGTGATATTCAAATGCCATGACGATTTATCTAACTAAAATTGATTTTGAATAATAATAAAATGTTAAACTAGACTATTTTGTGTCTAGACTATAATACATGGATATGTATGTATTAGGTAATGTTAGTAGAATATCAGTATCAGTATGAGTTGTCGATTGTCGTCAGTAATACTGATATGGACTGTGTTTGATTCCATTTTTATGAGTTATAAACACTCTCGAAATTATAATTGAAATAATTAAGTGATACATTATGATGGAGGGATGGGTGGCTCTTTTTCACCGGACGACTGCTCGCCCAGCAAACGGAGCGCCCGTAACCGAGTGTCGAGCCAGCGGCAGTGAGCGCTAACACACTGCCGCCTTACCCACTCGGCCACTCCTCCTCCCTTATCACTTTTAAAATAATAACTGTAATTACTAAAATTAAATCTACTTGTTGTAATTATTACCGGTTGCTCCTCGACTGGTGCGTATTTATTTGACTCCGTAGTCAAGAAAAGGTTATTTCCTGTTTTTACATCTGTTAAGTCTTGACATTGTTCCTAAAAACAAAACAAAAATAGCAAGACCCAAGATTTTAGCATTTAATGTTGCATAATATAACATTAGCGTAATACAAATAATAGATGATTAACTCATAATTATCTTGCCAAATATTAAAAAAAAAAAAAGACATTAAAAGTCAACTGAAAAGGAGACATAAATTTAAATCTCTCTAATTTATATAGAAATTGATGTAAATATGTAATACTTACTATAAATGGTCCATGGTCTTGATTCTCGCTAATTTGTTCATTGGTCTAAAAAAAATGTACCTATTGATTTAACATGTGAAATTTCTTAAAGGATTCTATTGCTATTATTTCTTTATTAGTAGGCTTATTAGACAGACTATCGCCATAAATAGCTAATGTTTTTTTTTACAAAAACTTAAATATTTTATTCTTTATTGATATAAATAATATATTTATAATTTTTAATTAATAATCTAAAATTCGTATTATTATATTTGTAATGTTAAACTAATTTGTACTGGTTATGTTATTTCTATAAGTAAAACATGTTTGTAAAAATTATACTAATAAAATAAAAGCAACTGTTTATGACGTTGTGATGATGTAAATAAGAAAAAACAATTATTTTGAAACAGGTATATCTGATATTTTGATTATCTTACAAATAATATACTAATGTATTAGCGTCTCTTATGTTATTAAAAATAACATTATAACGGGTTTTCTACAGGATTATATTTTTTCCTTACCTGAACGTGTGCCTCCTCTTCAAATATATTGTTACCCTAGAAATAAATATTAACACTTTGACGACTAAGATATGTTAAAAAAAGGTGACATTTCTTTTTCTCAAAACTATAGTTTAATAAGACTATAATAATATGATTTGAATTCGTTTTTCTTGATTATTAAAAAAAAAAAAATTAATTATAATACACGTAAGCAGTTACCTTGATGGAATCTTCAATTTCATCAGGAACTTCTTTTTTAGTCTCACCAACGATTATACAAAATAACAAAAAAAATACTTTAATTTTTCCAGTCATAATTTCGTGGTTCGTTCCAAAATGTATAATATGTAGAAGTATAAGAAAGGAAAAAATTGTTTTTTTTAGTTTTACAGTTAAAGCTCTTGACTTAAAGGCGAGCACAAAATATAAAAGATGTCTGTTATGCACAAAAATATTTAATTATTTAAACAACTACTGAACAATCACAGAACATATTTTTATGTGAGGTATTACAAATATTTGTATTGAATGATAGCTAACTCCACGGTCGTATTGTAATCATTTTTAACAAAGGTACAAAAAAACTTGTTTCCGTATTATTCGTTTATTATTCTAGTGTACTGACTCATTTCGTTATCCATAGAATCGCACCAATGCGAATTAAAAGCATAAGCTCATTTTAATATATAAGAATGTCGAATCCAATAACTGCCGAATCCCCTATTTGTATTTGCTAGTTTTTTTTTTAAATTATCATAATAATACATTCTATAGTACAATTATTGAATAGTACATCGTTAAACAAATAAGTTATGCTGTTTTTGAACTGTTGACAATATTGTACTATATTTTCTGATCGAGAAAATCAAAACTGGTTGATCATGCGGTCAGTTTACACTCTATGCAGCTAAATTAGTTGTTCAGTTTTTATTTTTTAATCTAGTTAATTAAAAGTAATCTGTATTGTGTATAGATTATAAACCCTATAGGTATATATTGTCGATAGGCCATATTGTCGATATGACCTAGATGTGTATAGAAAAACAATAACATATTTTATGCAGTGTACGTAGATTTTTTAAATCAGACTTAATAAATGTATGTTTACGACAAACTCAAACATAAAAGAGTTTCTATAATATGGCGAATCGAATATTTTCCTCATTCGTTTAAATCATTGTGGTACCAGTGATATGATCTATCATATTACCAATAAATGTATGTCCATTACTAAAAAAAAACACAGTTGTTTTATGTCGAATGTTCAACGTTTATAAATATTTTATGTACCTACAAACTAATAAAAACCAAACATGTTCCAAGTTCAAAGTACTCTCCGGGTAATGCATTTAAACTTAAACGTTTAACATGTTCGTTACCTATTCGAGTCCACCTGTGGAGTAGGTACGATTAAAAAAAAAAGGTTGGCAATAAACTAGCCAGGCATATTGTTATTATATTTTACACCCGGTTGCCTTCTGTAGAGTATAGACTGTATAGTTGAATAGATTTGCATCTCACGCCTACGCTATTCATATTGATGTACTTTTAATCACGCGTTACGTTTAAATCATTTTGTTAAACACACGGTCACCTACTTTTCATTAATTATCCTATTATCATATTGTGATGTTGTTGAGTACACGCATCGCACGGGCAGATTATCCTATTTGTATTGTAAATAATGACGGTCGACTGTAATTGATATTTCCTTGTGAATTTATATTATATAAGCCCGCAGAACTATTGCGAAAACACAATAGTAGGTTAACATTAATAACGTTCGGTAGGTGTCTTTATTATTTTGTCCGCGACAAGGAGTGCAAACGCATCGTACCAATTATTATATACCAAGTTGAATCCACATGAGTATAATGTCTTATTTCTGGCTACACGCGCTTTTATCACAAAACCCATCTTTGCACACATTTTCACGGATAAATCAATAATATAGGTATAAGGTACCTTTATATTATCTGTCTGGTAATCTAAAATTTATAATGACATACACTTGAAATAAATGTAGATTGTATTAATTTCATATTAAATTGTAAATTACTCTCAGTTCTAAAAATCCGTTTTATGTAAATTAGCATTTTTGCGGTAAATAATTTTTTTTTAAATTGCCACCACCATATAACAAATTAATCTTACTGGCGCTTATTTTCAGTTTAAAATAATAAATCTGTTGTAATTATCATAAAACCCATACTAAAATACTATTTTTCTTCGAAGATTATATCGATGGTTTTGGAATTTGCTATTCAAAGATAATACTAAAGAAAAGAAATTTCAAATAAAAATGTTCACAACGATGTAACAAACAAAAAGAAGGATTCCCTTTCAACATACAATATTTAAGTGCATACATAATACTATATAAATTAACCTTTTGAGTGCGCTATTAACTTTAATTTAAAAAATTAATCTAACAGTTTTTTAAAAACTGAAATATAGTAGTTTGACCGGAAAAATCTTATTTTGTCACCTATCACTTCATACATATATAGGTATTACAAACATACTAAAACTGAAATTGATATATTTGTTTCTAAACACCTAACTATGTTAATTTGTTAATTGTTTAAAAGACTCTTCTTTTTTTTTTTTTGTGATGTATTACAGCGCTACGAAGAAATTGTTTACAAGACTAGAATCAGGAATACAGGCGACGTTATACCACGTCACCATATCTAGTCTAGATTTGTTTCACCTATGTATTATGTATAAAGTTCTGAGTGAAATACAAACAAAAATGTCGACTAAAATATGTAACCATTCACACGTGGTTTTTCTTTTCTTTGGGAAACAAAAGAAATGGACAGGCTTATTGAATGCCATATGAATATGGCAATAAAATATATCGATATGTGTGAATAGTTATACTTAAAACTAAAAATCGTTTAAAAATCATACTGAAGTACTAACATGAATGGAACTTATGTAAATCGATTGGTCAAAAACGATTATTTTCAGACTTCAAAAAACATTTCTATTAAGGTACGTATAATATTATTTTGCGTACAAAGTATTAAGAACACATGCAGACGACGTGGCGGTAATACATAGATTTTAATCGTTCGCAGTGACGAACACTTTAGTTTTTATAGCTGTTGACTACATAAATGCTGGTGTTATTATAATATAGGTACTACGCTGGGTTACCGTGTGTTTAAGTGCTCATTGCTGTAAATAATTAATATTGTCTAAACTATAATGTTATTACATTATTAAATTACCGTGTATCGATTCACGGTTGCTTTCGATTTTCGAACGTCACACGCGTTCCTTTTCGAAATCGAATTTCCAACAGAACGTTGCGGTTTTTTTTTTTTTTGTTTATGCGTCGGTCAGACAGTATTCGTACCGCGAGTGTGAGCGCACGCATAAACGAGCAGGACACACAAAATAAACAGTGTAAAATATCGAAAAGAATGGGGCGGAAAAAAATGACATTATCCGATACACATGAGTGTTTATTGTCGGGACACTAAGGTACAGATAGTTGGTTGCATCACACATTTTCGCTGTGCTGCTCCATTTGTCGCGCCTCGCTCTGTAACGTCGGTGACAACGTCATTATGGCGTGACGTTACAGTAATAATATTATAATAACAATAATAATAATAATAATCTATAACAAAAATATAATAACGTTGTTTACAACAATGTTTGTGCGTTTTAAGCCTTCACACACTTGACAAAAAAGTTTAGCCACAAAACTTGTAATCAGTGTAAATACAATAGTAATATTATATTATTATAATATTACCACCGATTAAATAAAACCAGATAGTGCACCCTAAAAACAAACTTTAATAATCTCAGGTCAGTGTGACTAAACAAAGGACAAAATTATCCTTCCGTTGTACAGTGAGAGTAGTCTAAGCAATTTAATCAAACATCTGTAATGTTATCATCGCTTATCACCAACCATCGTTGATCCATAGACCATATATTACTAGACGCAGCATGCGTGTACGAGGGACGTCCGGAAAGTAAAGATAGAAGCCCCCCCCCCCCACGACCGTAGGAAATATTTTTTGCTATGTTGGCCACATTGCCGTGTAGCTTAACTTCTCCCTTCAAAACAAGACCAAAATGACTTCAGTACATTGAAAACTTTGGTTACAGGAATTTTTCTCGTGAAACATGTCGATCGAGTCTCCCGCCACCCCCTTCGTCCAAGTTCGAAATCCGTGAAATCGAGTGCAGACCTCCAAAGAGTTTTTAAAACGCTATGAACTGTAGGGTGATGATTTTCTCAAGTGTATTGCTACTGGAGATGAAACTTGGGTTGCACACTATACGCCTGAAACCAAGAGACAGTCCGAATAGTGGCGTCACACCACTTCACCATCAGCCAAAAAGTTCAAACCTCCATTTCTGTCAAACAAATCATGGCATCAGTGTTTTGGAACCACAAAGGCATCATATTGGTCGAATATTTGCCTCAGGAGGTGACCATCAACGCAGCAGGGTATTGGGAGACCCTAAAAAATTGAGAAGGGCTATTCAGAATAAAAGGGGGGGGGGTCTGCTGACAAAGGGAGTCTGCCTGCTGCACGACAACGCATGGCCCCACACGGCCAACGTCACGAAATAACTGTTGGACTCCTTTGGATGGGATGTTTTGAACCAACCCTCGCATTCCCCCGACCTGGCGCCTTCAGATTACCATCTGTTCACTTCCCTGAAGATGCACATGGGTGGGAAAAAATTTGCAACAGATGAGGAGGCGAAGGGGGTGGTCGACAAGTGGACGAAGGAAGTGACGGGAGACTCGATCGACATGTTTCACGAGAAAAATTCATGTGACCAAAGTTTTCAATGTACTGAACTCATTTTGGTTTTTTTTTTTAAAGGAAGAAGTTAAGTGGCCAACAAAGCAAAAAAATATTTCCTGCGGCCGTGGGTGGGGGGGGGCTTGTATCTTTACTATCCAGACGACCCTCGTAATTCCAGCGAGCCAATGTGCTGCGCTGACAGTGGCACTCGATGACGTCAAGAGGCGATCTGCTCATGCGCGTTTGAGTTCCCAACTTAAAAAATATGGTACACGGTTTAAAAATGATTGTATGATATGTCGCGACTTGTGACTGATAATACAATTTTCAATGCCGACAAAATCAAATTTCGAGTCGACAGCTATTTTTCGGTCATTAAAAATTTAACTTGTTAGTTTACTTTTGAATATATATATATCATTTTTTTAAATGGATACAATTCATTAAACAATAATTTATACTTCTCACAGTTGTATCACTGCTACGACAATAGTCGTGCTGGCACCACCTGCCCGCGTCCTACCCGGATGTCTAGTAGTATAAGGTTTATGCGTTGATCAACTACTTGTTATCAGTATTTCTTATCAGTTTACGTTGTTATTGTAAATAGTAGGTACAATATTTTCGCCATTATAATTTGGCTAATCAATGATCGTTATTTGAAAAACGATCGTTTTACTACTATGAAGTACGCTATCTGGTTTTATTTAACCTGTGATATTACTACGACGATGAGAATGATGACGACGGATTACGAATTATCACAACCTAACCGCCAGTGGTGTAGGTAGGCCCACGACCCACTTAAGTATAATAATAATAATAATATGTTAATTTGCAAGAGAGTTAAAGAATCGCCGCTGTTAGGTTTGTCAGCGCGAAGTGTGCGCAACATTTGTTATTCAGCGATTCCAATTTGGAAATTAAAATAATTACACACACGCAGAGTATGCTGTATGTTAGTACTATTAGGTATCTATTACATTAATTTATATGTATATAAATAATATTATGAAATTAATGGTATTGTATGGACGGGTAAGTGATTGATGGAAGCAGCGGTAATCGTCGTCGCGTCTATCATTTAATTATTACAAAACGCTCGGCTAGCTGGTCTACTGTTTTTCGCCGGACACGCATTTCCTAAGTGAAAGTATCTTATAATAATATAATGATAATACAGCGAAGAGACGATGAGAGCACACCACCATCCCGCAGGGGTCTTAGTAGCTATTTATCATTATAAAGAAGAATGATACATTTATATATATATATATATATATATAAATACAACGGGAGTGTGCAGGACAAAAGGAATTGCATCACTTTTTATTATTTTATTTTTTATTTTTTTGTTATAGTTTCGGACAACCGTTGCCGTCACAGCCCGCGGCCCCGTTACAATAGAGAAATCTGATATGTACATGTATATAGGCAAACGTGTGTAGGTATAAACAATATTTTAGCTTCTAATTAAATGATTCGCTAATGAATCGGAGATTAAACTTTGTTGTCTAAACAAACATATTGAACGCGGCTTTCTTATTAACCTCGTTTTTACCGGCGATTGTTCTCCGCCGGCGCCCTCGTATACAACAAATATATATCCTACTATTATTATTGTTATTATTATTATTATTATTATTATTATTATACTCTGCAAAGTACCAGCAACAGCTATTATTATTATAATCACGCCGCAGACCATCGGTTTATTGTAGTATAATATAGGTCCATAGTCGCGGCTAGCATAAAGTTGAGCCATTATTTGGATAACAAATAAATTCCGTCAACGGTTGTTGTTTACCTTTAAAATTAATTAACGAAGCCTAAAATGAACTCGATGACGATCTTTCGAACAATACCCTATAATTCAGTGTCATCTACAAGCAATAATAAATATGAAAAGTAGGTCAACGATTGAATCGATCGATTATAATATAATATTATATTAGAGCTGGGCCAGGCCTGTGGATGAACAGAGAAAGTGACTTTAACGTAATATTTCCTCAACTCGAAAATACAATTACAACAAATATTTTAAATTGTTCACTTTTGTAGAAAAATTATAGGACTTTTAATAATTTGTATCAAACGATATCACACACTCAACTAATAAATTCAATTATCTATTTTTTTTATACATTTTTGGACTTTTTGGTAGACTCTCTTCTTTTCTCAAAACATACTCAAAACCACTAAATTTACTCTCTCTTGCCTTATTTACGATCGGTACACCTAATCCTTTTTCTCTATATTTATCCACCCACAAGTTATCCTATATATATTATTATACTTCGCCTTTTTCGGCAGACCCCATGTAGTTGGGAGTGTAAGGCGAAGATAAAGAAGTTTATTAGTATACATCGCATTTCTCAAATTAATCATTATTCTGCTTTTTAGATCTTAAATACTTGTACTTATCAACTAAATTGTTACGACTCTCTTTGGACGTGACGCTTTTTGTCCGGTTTTCATAAAAGATGGTCTAGTTATCGACTATCTAGTCAAAGTATTGGCCATTAGGACTAATATAGCAATACTTATTTATATTAATTTGGACTACATAAACGTGAAGGCAATAGTAAAATTCAGAATTGAGAATTTTATGCTAACTAATCAAACAAAATAGCTATTCAAAAATTTATTTTAAAATAATAAATTCTACAAATTTTGGGTATCGAAAAGTATGACTTTCTTTCTGGAAAACATGGAAAAGTCGGCAAATTTTCAAATCTAAAAAGAAGGGTAACCTTGTTAAATGATGCCCAAGCAGTGGCAATTTTACTGAAAAACATGTAATATACTTCTTGAACTACACATACATATTATATCAAAAAAACTAACTAGAATGTTAGTAATGAACTAAAAAAAATATTTTAAAATGTAGTTATTAAATTTACACTTACACCTAGCTGTCTATTTTGTTGATTTTTTGTATTTTAGAAGAACCTATACTTTGTTCAAATTGTTCAAAACCTACTTTCTGTAAAATGATTTGAGTTCTAAAATTACACCTAAAAATTAAAACAACTTTCTCCTCCTAAAAATGAGTTACTATCATATATATGAACTAAAAAAATTCGTTATCGGGCTATTTTTAGATAGGACCATGCTTAATATATTAAGTCACACTTGGTTTCAAAAGAGGGGGTGCTACGCACACCCAGCCCCCTCAAAATGCGCCTATGTATATTTAACTTGTCAAATGGCAAATTAAAATTAATAATTTTTCCGCTAATTTGTAAATTAAAAATAGTAGGTACATTTCAACTGTAAAGTGTACATTATTACACCAAACGACATTTTTTCCAAGTAAACAGTAAAACAAGGATGATTGCAGTTCACTATGACTAACCTACACTAATTATTAGACTGTGTTCCCTTTAAAAACACAAGTAGTATAAACTGTAGTTAAATTCGTATTTCATCAGTGTTGTTATAAGCATATTAATGATGAATCAAATGTGATATAATTATTTTTATTCCCCATGCATAATTTTATAAAAAGAAGTACCTATGTATAAAGTAGTGCTATCTAACGGCTACATGCGTAACCTTTCTTGTATGAACGTTAAGAGGACGCCACTCCGGCTATTTCTAAGGAGTAAAGTATAGGCAATTTTTCGAAAAATCTTAATTTAGAGTTTGAACTATAATGTATACTTATTAATACAGTATTGAGGATACTATGTTGATTGCCATTTTTTTTTGTCAGACTATCACAGTCATTTCTATAGGAATTAGTTTGCCATCAAAACTGCTTTGCGCTGATTAATTTTTCTCAGGCCTTCATACATAGTTAAGGAAAGAAATTCATACATATTATTTATGACAAAATTATCTGTGTTCCATCATCCGTATTTTTTCGATATACCTAATACAGCCAACGCTATATCATTTTTAAAAAAGTCCTTTCTTAGTTAATAATTTTTCGTTATCTGGTTGAAATATTAAAAAAAGGTCGATGATTGAACACAGATAATGTTGTTGTCTATATTATGTGAAAATTTGGTTTCTTAGTTTTGATTACAGCCTTTGTAAGAAAATAACGGGTGTGTGGCGCCCTCTTAACAAAAGAAGTAATTGTTTGACACAACTATGTATAATAAGTTGCTTTACTAAACACTCTAAGGCGCTATAAGAAAAATGATTAGATTATTATATAGATTGTACTTTAATTATAAAGTACCTAAGCTTAGTAAGGTGCTTCACAGCAGTTATACAAAATAACCAATATTATAATATTAACACCAAAATTGAACCAATATTATTACTATTATTATAATCATATTTTTTCCATTTCATTATTTTATTCGTATTTTAAAAACATATGTATCCAACATGTATAAAAAATACATTGTTAGAAGACCTTGTTTCTCTGAATAACAATATTAATTATAAAGGCTTATCAGGTTGTAAATGGTCGACGGCGTACAACTGGTCCTCTCTTGAAACCAAGACTATGGAATATCTACAACTAAGATGATCAGAGTACCAAAATCATAAATTAAAGAGTAATTAATGATTTTCTTAGAGGTTACTTGCATATTGCAATTTATTTTTCAAATTTAAAAAGAATAAATCATTATTATATTTTGTTTCAATGACCCAAGTACTAATGACATAACAACATGGCAAGTTCAATAAAACAGGAATACTAAGTCAGAAACGAAGTCAAGGTAAACTTACTAACTATACTACGTAATAACATAAGGAAATATAGTCAGATTTTTAATAGTATTGGACAATTAATATTTTAATGTTTTACTATAATAATAATAATAATTATTATTAGAAAAAAAAACGGCAATAATAATACTTATATTTTTTAGTTTGCGGGCAATCGCAATATTATGTAATATCACCAATATAAAAAAAAATTATATCTTATAATTTTTATATTCTTTTTTCTCTGCAAAACATGTGTCAAATAAATGAAACACGTACATGCATGCGTTCGTATTATGACCAGAAATGTAAAAACAAACTACCAAAAATAAAAAATAGTAATAATAAAAATAATATATTAAATTTTTTTTATTTTCAAATTATATTAATTATACTGTATACACAATATTCTAGGTATCTGACCAAATTTTGTTAATTATTGAATTAGCGTTACTATAAGTAATATTAAATTTAAATTAAAAAATACATAACGAATAAATACACACAATACGTTTTAAAGATAATAGTATTAAGACACTGTTTTATTTCGAAAAGACATCTTTACATTTCCAATTCAACATCCATTTTTGCAATTTGAAAAAAAATTATTACTAAAATTAGATTAAAAGAAGTACGATGAAGCATCGAATATTAACATTGTTTTTGGGTTCGTTTAACTTAAAACGTTAAGATACTTTTGGTAAGCTTAGTTAAAATGTATACATTTGACATAATACCTAATTAGTAATTACAATTAAATATAGGTACATTATATGCTAATTTTGCTTTGAAAAAAATGTTTTATAGTAGTATAATATAACTAGACTCTATCCTCGTGATGACTAATAATTAACGTGATATTTTTGGTCTTAAGTTTAATAATAAAAATAATAATTATAACAAAACAAATGTACAATGGTATTAGCCGCCTAATAAAGTTAAAAAAAAAACTAGGACATTTTATCACAACATTATAATTGAGTTAGATATTATATAATTACAGACTAACATAAAATACAACATAGTTAAAAATTCATATATATATTAAATAAAAAAATCGTTTAAGTTTTGTATCTACTTTGGTGCGAGCATCATGTTTTATTATAGTATAGGTATGTATAGTCGGCCTTTGGTGATTTATAGCGATTTAATTATATAGTATATATATATTATGTATAAAACAAATATATTATTTAAAATAATAATCTAATAAAGAATGTGTGAATATCGTTAACTAATATGTAATTATACAGCAACGTGAGTAATAATAATAATAATAATAATATTATGTGGGTTATGTTTAGGAATAACCGAATTTGAATTGAAAATTGTATTCAAAATCAATGAGCCCAATTTAAGTATAAGGGTGGGGGCACGGGTCATAATGGCGACGCGTACATAACACCGTCGTCGGGTAAGCACGGGTCGATGTTGTTGTTCTGCATCTCGGCCGAACCGTCCGAGACTTTTTTCATAAAACTTCTAATCTCGAACAGCCGCGGGTCTTCTTTGTCGTCCACGCTGCTCGCCGAACTGCTGGTCACCGTGCCGATCACAGTGCCGTCGTCGGACTCGTGCTTTTTCACGTGTCTGTCCAAATTGGTCTGTTGCGAGAACCTTCTGTTGCAAAGGTTGCACTTGAAATTCCGCTCTTGCCGGTGGATGTTGCGCACGTGCCGCTGCAGGTTCGAGGATATGCTGAACGACCGTTCGCAGTGCGCGCACCTGTACGGCTGTTCGCCCGTGTGCGTCCGGACGTGCCTGGTGAGGTTGGCGGATCTTGGAAACACCTTGCCGCAATACTTGCACGCGTATCTGTCCTTGGACTTGGCCGCGTTCTGTTGACCGTGCTGAATGATGTCTTGGTAGGTCTTCGGGTAGTTGGGTATGGGCTGCCGGAGGAAATGCTCGATGGCCGGCGACGGGCTGGTCATCATGAAAGGAAACGGTCTGGCCTGACCGAACGACGGCGGAGTCTGCATGAGCTGACTCTCGGCCGTGAAGTTCGGCAACGACGACGGGTACATCGAGTCCAGGTACAAAGGTTTCGGGTGCGCCACAAGACTGGACACCGAGTACGACGAAGGCGTCGCGGGGGGCGACCACTTGCGTTCGCTTTCCTCGTCTTCCTTAGGGTCGGCCAACCGTAACTCGGCACTTTTCGGAGATCTGTCTTCCTTGGTGACTGAAAGGTCCAACGGCTGGTCGTGGTACGCCTTCTCTTTCGGCGACTCGGTACGCCTAGTTTCTCGGACGACACTTATGTCGGTGTTCACGGTCAAATCGCAAGGACCGTCTTCGTCCGCCGACGCCTCGCGCTTGATGACTTTCGGGTCGGAGTACGTGACGTTCGGCCTGGCCGGCGACGGTCTTTGATTAGACGACGCCTCTTCGCCGACCAACGGTGATTTCTTACTGGACCCCATCATTAGGCTGTTGGACGGTGGAGTTTTTTGATTTGCATTCGATATCTTTTTGACGGGCGTCTCGATATTTTCGGAGTCGCCGGACCGTTTAAACCGGTTTATTTCTAATCCGCTCGGTAAGGATAACAGGTCCATATTTATTTTGGGCGCGAACTGACCGAACGGACCGAACGGCGTGGGGAATAACGGCGGCGGCAGCGATCCGTTTGCCGACGGGAAATAAAACGGATGGACCAGCGGATGTGGCGGATACAGTGGAAATCTCGGATAGACCGAGAACGGCGACGTGCCTTGTTGCGACATGTTTGGCGCAGGGGTGCTGCTGGACGTGGGCAATGAATTGGATTCACAGAACCTTTTGTGTTTAGAAAGAGACGTTCCCGTGCTGAAAGACTGATCGCAGCGGTCGCATTTCACTTGCATACGGCAATCGGCGTGCATCCTCTTGTGACGGCAGAGATTAGAAAACTGAGTGTACGCCTGTAAAATAATAGCATGTTCGATTAAAACTCAACGCGAACAACGGCAAGTGCAAAAATGGAGATCGACTATAGACTATACCGAGGTGTTATCAACGAGGAAAAAAATCGGCTACCGCGACAACAAGCATCTTTGTCCATCGCACGTATTACGAGCCAACGATAATCCGCATTATCAGGGAAACCTCGTTTACGTGACGACCGGCCTGACGATAGTCGATTACCACCGCCGTTCAGTATTTAGCGCTATCATTGCGGAAGCCGGATTTTCATTTAACGCGCATATCGTATAAGAGTGAAAAACCCGATAAATTAATAATACCGCTTGGCAAATACGCACCTTAAAACACACTTCGCACTGGAATGGTTTTACGCTCGAATGGATGTGAGTATGTTGTTTGAGTCCGCTAGACGTTGCGAACGTTTTGCCGCATTCCGAACAGGCGTGCGATCTTGCGCCCGCGTGGTTGGTTCTTATGTGTCTCTGCAAGTTGCTCGGGTCGCTGAACACTTTAGAACAAGTCTCGCAAGTGAATTTTCTACTGTGAGCAAGCGCCAAGTGTCTAATCAAACAGGGTTTCCAACTGTACGACTGTGGACACAGCTCGCAACCATACTGGTGGGATTTGTAATGATGTCCGGAAACTAAATGATCGTCGAGTCTGCAAAACAAACGCGAACAGTTAACACTTTATCATATTATATTGAGCTCTATGTAGAGTGTACATGTAAAATAAACGAGTGAAAGATGTCTTACGAGCCACGGAATTGATGCAAGATACTAAATCTTGGTACGTCATTAAATCTGCCCCCATAAAATTACTTCTTGGTACACCTTGATATATTTGTAAGCTACAATGTCTATTAATTATTTGGCTAATCAACAGATCTTAAGTAATTTTGACTTATTGATACGTTGATTTTTCTTAAGTCGATGCATCGTACTACTATTAACGATATCAGTTTTTTTATTTAATATGTCACTCAAAAAGTCGTTTCAGAGACTGTTAGAAAAATTTAAGACGAAGAATATAATAGGTATAATAAAATATTATATATTTATATACGTGCTATTCTATCAAAATTGGTATTTTTTTTCAAAAATCGATATTATATATAATAATATATATATATATATAGGTATAATATGTTTTATTACTGCGATCGGTCACGTCTTCCTCATCGCTCTACTAGAGGGATGTAACCAATGATTGTCGGATGAGAACGAGAAAAAAAGGGCGTCTTGAAAAATGAAGTGCCGGACCAGCGGGTGGTCTCCGGACCGTGACCGCCGTTACACGTTTAAGCACTTAGGCGTTCACACCCTCCTATCTCTCTGAGCTTGGTTATCTGTATAGACCCGTGGATATAATAGTATAGCGGTTTTTTGTGAGCGAAAAAGAATTATTTTGAAAACGAAAGAAAGCGTCTGTACGAGTAACGATAATACAATGATAGGTTCATTAAAAATCACTTACTGTTCAATGTCGGGAAAGCACTTTTCGCACAAGATGCATCGGTTCTGATCGTCTTCGTCGGGTTCCTCTGCGTCGCCGTCGACGTCTCCGTCGCCGTCAATGGAGCCCAATGAGTTCTGAGAGGCGACAACTATAGAACACAAGACAACACGATCCCGTTAATGATACAGCACGCATAAATCAACGTAGGTACGCCTGTACTGTGTACGCTTGGGGTGTCGCTGCGTGATTGAGGTAAAAACAACAACCCGTTTCTAGACAAGTTTACCCTATACTGTGTGGTGTTGGCTATCTACGCGCTCCGCGTGTGTGAGTGTGTGTTTGTTCGAGGGATGAAAGCTACCTTCCGGAACGGAAACCGAACGGTGGAGGGCCGCGTGTATTGGTTGATAGCATAATTAATTCACCATAAGTTTGTACTCTGACCGACCAAAGGCGGAAGGGGAATTCAATGTGCTATCTCATTAGAACAATTGTGTCAGGTGCGATTTGGATTTCCAACTGACGTTTTACAACAGCACCTGTTATGTATTATACGTGTAATATGTGAAACTGTAACTGAAAACGAGATCAGCCGACCTATACAGGGGTAAAATATATAGTCTGGCCTACTGAATGTTTTGTTAAAGCAACTATGTATTTAGTTATTTCAACTATACCTATATTAACCATAATTTAACAGCTGAATGGAAAAGAGGTAATTTTCCTCAACATTCAACTTGCGGAAAATTAAAGAAAACTGTTTAATTCCTATCATAATTTTATAAACGAAGTTTCAATGGCATATTTTCCTTTATACTCTTATAATCTCTGTTTATTTTTTGAATTTGGTCCTTTTTCCCCTCATGTGTTCAATTTTAGTTGATCCGACTATATATTTGTTTCATGTAGAACCCACGCATGTTAATTGTTGTAAGTTACAAAATATTGTTGCTGGCATTTAACCGTAATGATATTTATTATTATTATCCCCTAATACATGTGTAACGTTATTTTACACGACATATAAAAAACCATGTGAAAACCTCAAGTTGAAACGGCTAAAATAATCCTAAACGACGTTGCAGAGAATAAAAATAAAAGCATATTGTTTACAAAAAAAAACGATTTGAGTTGTAGTGAGATGAAACGGGGGACGTTTGGCGCGTGTAATCGAATATCCGCCCACTAATACTCGGTTTTCGTTTGAGTTCACACGACGAACCCCTTTTTTTTGTGGACCCTATAACTTGTAAACATATGCTTTTGTCACCCTTTTACGTTAAAAACTCAAAGTCAAAAGCTTTTTACACGTAAATAGACTATGTAATTAACTATAGACAATAAAAAACAGTTGTCGCAAACCATGAAATAATTCATTTTCTAAAATGCCATATCGGCATATGATGATTTTTATTACTATTGTACTCACATCCAGGCAACATTAGAATATTATTTAGTAACTACCTATAGTATCATAAACCCTGTTTAAATATCACATATCGGTCATTTGTATAAAACATCTAGTCATTGTGGTGTATAATCTTATTTCTAAAATACAGTTCTATTTTCTTAATTTCACTGGTTCAAATGCTTAATTCAACACTTTTATCGATTACAGGATACATTAGTATTATGTAAAAAATCGTTATTCGATAATTCTATCTTTTTTTTAAAAAAAAACGCAGCCACCTGCTTCCTGTGTTTCTGCATAATTCTGTAACGGACTCCAGATGGGCTAATTGTCGTGGATGGCGTAGGTACACAGTTCTTTTGTAAGCGGACAGACTCCGATGATTTTCGTGAGAAACCCCCGGACACGAGGTGGACCAGGCGGGCAGAGAAGTTACCCTTTAGCCCCCCGTGGGTACAAATTCGCTGATGCAAGACAAACACTAGACAACTGGTTCGGAATAACGCACTGTTGGAGACGACCCGTAATGAGTGCGATGTTGCGAAACATGGTTCAATGCGACGTCAACAGTTAGTAAAAAAGAAACAAAAAAAAAAACAAATAATAACAATAATAATGATACTAAAAAAAAAAAACACTGTGCGGTACGCGGTTCATCGCGCCAAAAACGGTTTCGAAATGCAGTTTTCGATAATAACAATAATAATTACAACAATTCACTTATACATTGTATGTGTCCATGACAACGTGTACGATTCGAATAAAACTAATACACCCGAAACGTATAATGGGGGTTAAGTCACAGTGATTGTAGGGGCAAGCGGTCGACCAGGTGTCTACGACTTGCACCAGGAAGTGGGAGTTTGAATCTCTTCCGGTCACGTTAAAACCGTTAAAACAACAATAAGGGCGATCGGCATAATGAAATTGGAGATTTCGAAAGTGCTCGCACTAGATTGTTCATCCGCGTCTGAACGCAATAATACGTTTTCAATAGACTTTCGGTTGTTGAGGTCTTAACTCTTTTGACGACCACCTCGGTTAGGTACTAAATAGGCTGCTGGGAACGCCGGGGGTATAATACATAATAATATATGACGTCGGCGGCGGCCGTTAATTTGGCCATGACCGAGGAGTATACCGTAGAACAATCGACCTTTATTTGTTTTTTTTTTTTGTTGTTTTGTACGTGACACGTGAACACGACTTACCACCGACCCCAATTTGATTTGATCCGAAAAATCTCGCGTGACCTATGGGAAGTCACAAATAATAATAACATCTGCGCGCACGTACCTACTACACATATCGGCGAACCGGTTAGCGCAATCGCGTGACATGGTCTCGTGTCGACCGTAAAAAAACCAAAAGTCAGATTTCCATCAAACATTAATCATTAACGACCGCGGGCCGGTGTCTAAAAATATAATTGAAATGGCGACTAACGGCGTTATTTTATAACACTATGCCGGCAATATTATAAGCAAAACAGTAATAGCAATTATCATATCGAAACGTCTCCGGATCAGCTGCTGCGGACGGTTTATGATTATAGCGCAAAACGGCTGAGGAGGAAAGGGCGGCGGCGGCGGCGGCGTGTGATACTGCAACATCATCAAGTAGTAATTTTTACGACTGCCAAGTCGCCGGCGGCCCGGCTATGATAGCTACTATGTACGGTGACTGATACGAAAGCGAGAAATTTAATTAAGACTTGTATCAGATGTAGCTAACGGTCGTCCCCGGGACTGGCGCGCCTTCGAATAGTAATCGCTAATTATAAACACCCTGTTGATTTCCTTCTTTTTTTTTTTTTTTCACTTCTCGAGTCTCGTTGCAATTATTAAAATTATGTAAGCGGCGATGGTAATCCGAGGCCGTGGCGCTTGGCTGTGATATGTTTACGATGGCGTTTGGCCGCGTAGATTTTACATTTTTTATAAAGATTATAATATTATTGTTCTTGCAGAACGTGACTAACGCCGCACTACATTAATTGTTATTACACAAATCGTTCGTCGTGTACACTTCGCCTACGCCGCCGCCGCCGCCGATAAACATTATTTAAACACACCGATACGTTTCCCTTATCGAATGTACAATATTGTTATGTATCGATAAACGAACCGAGTAATTTATATCCGCGGTTAATTTCTAACTAATACACCTATGCAGTTCCAAGAACGATCTCTGCATAGTTCATTAGCACGCGGCTGCATTATATATTTTGTTTTATTGCTATCGTGAAGTGCGGTGGCCTATTAATAATATTGTACACAAAAATATAAGCAAGTGGCAGTGGGATGTTTAAAAAAATATTTTTTTTTTTTTTAAAGTTGCAAAAAATCATTCAATCTCTAGCAATATATGTCAACGCATCGCCTTGTGTTTATTCACGCGTTCAAGCAAATCGTTAAAAATCAAATCCCACATAGGTACTTTATTGACCATTAATCTTAACTAGACTTTACAATCAATACAACTCAGTAACTACTGATATAAATATTATAGGCAAAATCAATTGGGATTTAAAAAAAAGTTCCAATAAAAACGTCGTAAGAGAAAGTAAATGGCAACTTTTATACATTTAAATCGATTGTCTACTTACCGTACATTTGTACGGTAATTTTTTTCGGAAACGCGTCTGTTTGGTTAAATACCTAGGTTAATACTTAAAAGAGAGCCACAGGAAAAACCATCATGCCTATATGTTTTTAGTGAGATATTTTTGTTTTTTTTTTTTATTGGGATTACTAAACTCTAAAGCCCTTCCGGCTGTACTTTGGCCTGATCTATAATAGAAATAGGTATCTAGTTTTGCCTATCGTTATAATTATTACTGCACTTGACTGTATGAGCTTTGCCGCGAGCTTGACTGTTGGATCACAACGCCCAATTAATATTTGTTAGAATCTCACAAATCCGTTTAAGCGCGCCGTATCAGTGTTGTTTGCGGAATCAATATAATAATATACAATAAAAAAAAATACAGCGTGTTAAACGTGCGCGTACACAGATTCGGTTTTGCGGTACAACAAAAAAAAAATCCCATTTAATCAATTCAGGACTATTAGGTCTTTATTACTCGTACAGGCGGAAGACAAATTATCTACCCTAATTTCTTTTATGTGTTCCCGCTTGTTTTCTATAGCCCCTCGCGTGCACCCGGTCACCGCGCCACCGCCGCCGCCGCCGACATCTCTATTATTATTATGTCGGGCGCGATTAAAGTTAGGAGAGGACGCAGATAATCTAGGCGTTTGTCACCGCTCCGGCTTTACAGTGTGTTCGGGATATTATTGTTCGAATACACACAGGGTGCAAAAAAAAAAAAAAAAAATAAGGTAAGTTATGATATAAACCGCCCAGAAATATGATTCATAATAATGAATAGCAACAACCCTAATATGTGTTCGGGAGGGGTTGCCGATCAGTAGCGTGTATCCCATACGTGTTGTAAACAGTGGCAGACGCCAAATATATATATATATATATATATATTTATATGACAAATATATCGAATACAATGCAACGGACATGCGTACAGATCATTAACGTACACATTATTGGAAGTGTGTGCGGGGGTCGAGGAGCGAGATAGGGGGGGGGGGAGCGTACCCCTTTCCCGCACGCGTGTATACACCGACGACGACTGTATATATGTTTTTGTTTGAACAGTTCTATTATCAGTTAGGGCTCAGGCCTTTTAATATCACAACACGTTGACTGATATTAGTAAGCTGCTGCTGCAGCAGCAGCAAACACCCTAAGGGGATTTTCGGGGGAGGTGTGCCAGAAAAAAAAAAACGTCTGCCCCCGATAATAAAGTTGTTTTTACACACATTATATTGCGGTGACCCCCTCCCAGTGTCGGGGCGTAAATGATGGCAATAAAAAATAATATACAAAATAGTATTGTATAGTGCGTGTGTCGCATAAAAAAGCAGCCACCGTGACGACTGGAAGCGATTAATTGTGAATTAATTCCTCTCACTCCGAATGTCTTCCATTGTTGACGTCCGTTATGCTACGGGGCTCTTACACAGATATGGGCTTAAAGCGTGTGATTGAGATTAAAGAAGCGCGCGCCCGCCAGCGAGGGATAGTTGTAACGTTTTGATGAATTTTAAGCAGACCGACCATTGTGAACCGTTATAGGGTCATTGTGACCGAAGCGCGTTGGTAGAGTTTTAATTGAATAGTACACAAAAATAAGCATAATATCATATTGATGTTGAAAGAAATCGAAGCGTAAATGCTACTGAGGAAGACCTTATCGATTCCGTTCTAAATATCGATAAGAAAATCAAAATGATTAATAAACACTCGAATTACCTGAATCTCTCTCGCTGCGATCTTCCGATGTGGCCATCAGTTCTCCGAAAGCTGCGTCTAAGTTGAGGGGTTCCCTCTTGCCCAACAAGAGTTCGTCCGAAGCTCTAACGGTTTGTGTCAGTTCGTAAAATATCTATTTTAATAACAACAAATATTATTTAGGTATGAACAAAAAAATTGCCATAATACGTCCACTAGGCACACGTTGAAAACAAACATCTTTTCTTCACTTACTTGACCGGCCAACAAGAAAGCCCTGACGTTTTGCCTGTTGCTGTCGTTGGTGGATCGAATGAATTTCAACCAATTACAAACTTCAATCGTGCCGTCTAAAAAACCAGAAAACCCGGCAACGCGAACCTATAAACAAAATACAAAAAAAACTTTTAGTTAACTGATTCTCGTTGTGGTTTTATTCGCAATAGCCCATAAAGAGCCACGCCGGCGGGGGTTCATTTTAAACGCGTTACTCTTGCACTCAGTTAGAGATTGTAATTAATTACAGGGAAATACTCAAGCTGTAGGACAACTTGGCCATTAAATGTACGAAATCTGCGGTCGTTAAAGGTCTTCCGTCCCTTTCTCTCGCTCATTCTCGGCCCCATTCTCATCTAGACATAAATCACCATCAAAGGGAGCTGAAAAGAATCGTATAAAGGAAACCGAGGTCTCGCACCCTTCATTCAAGAAAAAGATGAACCCTTTTGGGGATAATTGATGATTGCTCCAAAAAAAGATTCATCGGCCCGGGTTAGGTGGGCCTTATTAATTAAACGTGACACATTTGGAGGTCCTTTTTTTCGTACACTTTACAATTAGTTCAAGTTGAGACGATAAAAGTCAAAACTCCAACTGCTGATCCTAAACAATGTTAAATTTGTATTAGTTTACAAAGTAAGGGGCGCGCGACGGCAACCCTTCAACACATAAATTAACAACTAGTAGCAACAACAAGTTTTTTCAGGCGCATATTTTTTATGTTGCAAAACGTATAGCGTATTCAATGTATTAAATCGTTTTATTTTGTTATTTTGATATTATCTATTTTGTTAATTAATTAAACGCAAACGCGGTCATCATAATAATATATTATTATAAAATAATTGTTTTACCTTAAATGTCAACTTAAAAGATTGATTTATAATAAGAAATTTATGATTTTCTTTTAGATGGTGATAACATAAATTTCATTTTTTATATAAATAAATATTATAACACGTTATATTATGTTAAAGTAATAATTTATTACTTCTAATAGGTCGCTTATGGGTTTTACTATTAAAACAAACATTTTAAGAGGAAGAGGAAGTTCAGTTCCTCAAGAACGTCAAAAATTCTCTTTTTGTGTTTAGTGTCGGGCATTAATTATTTTTGGGTTTTTTATAGCGTTTTTCATAAATTAATCGATAACGCTCTTGGTCGTTAATTACTGTGTACTGTAATTTTAGTAAATACACCACCATAAGCATACGTTTCTAATAACAGCCAATGTATTTCACGTGACATTAATAATTATTATTATACCATTAAGACGCATTGTACTTTTTTAATCATAAAAACGGTTATCGGCTTTTATACCTATTCCGTTTTGTTAAAACGCCAGCAAGTAGCTTAAGACTGAAACACATACTGTTTTGTGGAAATTATAAGTACACGTATTGCGCATTTACAGCATATAATAACACTGAATTCGCGTAACGCCTATTCCGTATGACACACTAGGTTTTTTTTATTTTTTTGAACGCTCATAATAAAAATGTAGAATAATGTTTAGAATTTGCATTTCTCGTGGCTGGTTTTTTTGCTCGCAATTAGCCGTTTATTCACAGTGACCGTGGGATATTGATCGATGGCTATCAGTGGTGTCGGGCTTTAAGGGAGCGATGTGGTTTTTTAGCATACGACAAAAAATATAGTACACAGTGACATAAGAAGGGAAGAAAAAAAAATTACCAATTCTATTATGTGTCACAGCGCTAAACGGACATCGGCGTAAATCCGCACATAGCCAGTAGCCGTATGTCCGGGTATTATTATTATGTATTCATTGTCCCTCGTTTGACACCTCTCCGGGTTTTCTCCCCAAAAACACAATGCCATACTCGCATGTGGATGACATTATTGGCGTGCACCGGGCCAGATGTCCGAGGACTGAGGAGGTTATAATGTTATATGTAGCTGCTTTGATCGCTGTCTGTCCGCCACCGCCAATGACAACGTAATAAAGAAGATTTCTCAGTTCAATTCGCATTCGGGTATCGTCTTTTGACATTCGAAATTCTAAGACATGTGCATTGAACGCTTTCGGAAATCACATACGTCGTCTCGCGTTATACGAGTTGTAAAACGGTTATTTTAACCACTATGAGTGTAAAAAATTAGGTACATCGTTATGATAAAAATAATATAATTTCGTCCACGTAAAACGCACAGGTAGCGTACGCTCGAAGAGCTATAACGCGGTAATTAAAGTTTGAATAGCCCAACAACAGCTGTTATATTCGATAAGCAAAATATTACGTACGTATTCAACCTACAGAGGATTTCAAAATAGCTTACAGTCCTCTAATAGGTAATTATTGATCGAGTGTAACAACGTCTATGCGGCTTTTGTGTTTCTTAGTTTATACTATAAGCGCATTTCCAATTAGGAGGCATGCATAGTATATTTTGTCGTACTCGTTTTGGAAATCAAATTGTTTTTAGCAGAACACAACAGCTGAAACATGTACACGGAAAACCGGAAAAGTTCTCTCTGTGCACAGTATTCCAAATTAAATTCGTCGTCGACCCGTGGTCGCGTTTTCACTTGGTCTTTTTCGGAATAACAAAAAGTCGTAATTAAATTTTTAGTCCACCTTTGGCGGTTTTGGACTTTTCCCGTAGTCCCAACCGGCAACCAGTGCCTGAGCCCACGCCAAAGGCTTAATATTTTATAACGGCAACGGCGACAGACGACTGCGATCTTCCCGCGGCTGTTTGCCAGCGACCGATGAATTTTTAAAAGGCCTCTGTCCGCGCGTTTCATATTAAATCTTGCTCCTCCCCTAGCGCAAACACCGCAATGTTTGCCGTTTTATCAAAACTCACCGCACTTGTGAATAATTGCGTTGTATTCCCGCACACAACCGCCGCCCTTACAATATGTTTTTTTGTTTGCTGTACGCGGCGAATTTCACCTCACCTCCACCACCGTCGCCCACGTACATAATAATATTGTGTCTGCAGCCGAAACTACTACTATCTCTTATTCCTCCGATTGCTACAACGGTGGCTATTCGAACATAAAACAGCGGCTTATATATATGACATTTGGCTCAACTGAAAAATACAATGACATTACCACAGGACATCCACGGAGAATGAACCTTGTTTGTTCTTTATTTTTCGTATAATCGGTTGCGTTGTACCAATATAAAATTACAGGGTCAACGACTTGTCCATGTATACGTTTTTGGTCCAATAAATTATGATGGTAATGAAAATATTAACAGTACAGAGTTACGCATATAATAATGTGTGCCGTCCGCGTCGTCCACCAATAGGATTCCAGAGAAAACATAACCGATCATTACCATTCGACTCCATAGTCGATATTATGTGGTCGATGATTGCCGGTTAAAAATCAATTATAATAGATTACAAGACAAGCCATGTTATATATAAACTTTCTTGTATTTCTATACCACGAAATTTATACGATAACAATTTTCTACTAGAATTCTCAGTAAAACGTCTATTATAGGGTTCTTCGCGACAACACACAACAATGATAAAGTCATATTTTTGACCGCTAAGTATAATAATAATTGTTATTATATTGATCACACCAAATCGTTGTATAGAAAAGTTCTATAAAACGTGCTTCTTTTCGATTTATAGTTTTATAATTATTGTACTCCACGTAAACAGTCTATTTATAAGGAAAGTACCTATAGGTATAAAGTATTATCGAAACTTTTACAGCGCACAGTCATATTTGGCACCATCAATTCCACGAAATTTTTAAGATTATCGAACAAGCCATTGCTACGCCTTTTAGGCCCTTCTTACTCGAATTGCATGTACAACAATAAACATTGACGATGTATAACATGTATACGTTTTTAAGTAACATATTCTATTTAAAGAAAAACACGATCAGGTTCTCGAGCATACTTAATTATCAGTGATTGTATATCGTTATACTATACAAACAGAAAACACTAAAGTCAAGCATCAAGGAATACTTTATAATATCTAGTCTGCCGAATTGTGTATAATATGTAATAATAATATATTGTTTTTTTTTTACTTCTGTTTAGTTATTTTCAAACACGTGCGAACTCGGCCGGTAAAGGGAGACGACCTTTGGGACAATCGATCATCTATTATGTAACAACAACCAACATGTGTTATTATTGTGTATATCATTATATTATAGTGTGCGACCGTTTTAATTTGATCTCCTCCGGTCAGTGGATGGCGGGGGCGATGCGGCTTATTAGTATTTCTGTTTGGCATCGCAGCGACGTTTTAAAGGACAACCGCGACAGCAGCAGCAACAGCAACAGCAGCTGACGGCAGACGGGCATTTATAATAGTAATAACAATATAATGTTATACTCGTAATTTGCACGATATAACTCATTAATGCGACCATCAAACGCATCGGATGCTTGACCCTCTCAATCACGGCAAACGTCGGTCTCTCTCGCTCCGATGCTGGGACACACAACAAATTGGTTTAATATACCTTCGATGGTTCAAAATATGCAATGCACCGATCACGGGTCAGTTATATTATGACGTTTATGATATCACTGTAGGACGCCAAGTGATCAATACCGCTCTCTATATTCGCGTCCTTCTAATCGGCCGATATAAGTAATAATAAATAATTTACACGTTCTATATTAGTGCGTATTATGATATTATTATAATATAATAGCCCACGATGATGGTGATAATACTATAATCGAATACGCTACTCTTAGATGTTCACGCGACCGTAACCCGACAAACAATAACACGGCAGAGATAAATAATGTGCTCGTACGCAAGGGATACAGAGGTACACACACATAATAATAATATATCGGATGAGCATATTATACAACAACCCTTGATTTCGCCGCCTGGTCGGGGTGACAATGAGAAGAAGAGACCTTTTTTTTTTTTTTATTACGACCCTCTTTCCACGTGTATGCGCGCAGCAGTCACCATATTATATTATACAGCTCTATATGCGTTTTACAGTGGTATATACACACACACTACACAGACAACATGTGTCAATGATGCGGGAAATTAAATAATTTCGAGCGTGTGCGAGTAAAGGGCAGAAAATTGCCCGTTAATAAATCATATGTTGTACTCCCTCACTATTCTTTTTCGCTTTCGCCGGTATACTTTTGCGGATTTTTTTTTCTGGAGAATTGTACATAGTACCTATTAGCAAAGTACGCCGAACCCACCTCAGAGTGTAATACAAAAAGTTAACTCAGTTTTCCGCCGCTCTCTACAGTCCTATATATATATATATATATAAATAAAAAGCCGTACCGGCTTATTGTCGATGCATATTATTATTATTATTATTATTACTAAGCGAAAGAGACCGCCGTGGTATATATTTTTTTATTAATCAATACGATAGTAAAGTTTAACGGTGTTTTTTTTTTTTTTTTTACTTCGGCAAAGCAATCATATTTATACTTTGTTCGGTGAAACTTGTTATTTTCTTCTGGTAACGCGATCGTTCGTATTCCGCCGTGTACATCGGGGGATTTGGGTAAAAAAAAAAAAAACAGCCAACATGAAATAAAAAAAAGTTGCATGAAAAATAAACACAATATACTGAAGACGAAGGCCGTCGCCATAAATAAAAAATGGAAAATCGAAATTTAATTTGTGCATCGCAGCCCAAGGGTGTCACGTGCTGTACAGTTTGTTAACATGCACAACGACGATACCCCTGTTCCCTTTTGTCTTTTCTGTCGGACGGACCCCCTTTTGTAGTAATTGGCAACATGATAAACACACGTACCGCACTGCAGTGGGACGCCGTTTAGCCGTGTGTAATTTTTGTATAATTTTGTTTATTTTCGTAGCTCGTTTGTTGTCACAACGTCCAAAGGGAATTCCGACAGTCTCCGACGCTATCACAGCAGTCCGACAAACGACTAGTTGCCGAGCAAGAAAAAAAAAAGAAGAAAAACGCTCCCTATTATTATTATAATAATAATATCTTTGACAGCTCAACGTCTTTTTTGATTCTTTTCGGCGCAAAGTCACGGTTTAGCGAGCACTAGACGGTTTGTATACAACCATTGCGGAATATACATCTGTTCGCGAATACATTATATTATAATATGGCAAAAAAATAAAAAATTTGAATACGGCGGTTTTTACCTGTTTCTCGTGCGCGCATATACACGTATATATATACATAAAAACATTACCTACATCAAATATATATATATCGTTATTATTATAAATATATGTACAATACTATAATAATATTATACAAGAGAGTCGGTTTGCGTGCGCGCATTTTATTTTTTTCGCGTTGCCGTTTTTCATTACACATAAATAAATGTACGGCAATTTATAGAATACCGACCTGATTACGGGTCTCCCTATGGAGGAATAATTATAATAATAATATTATTCACTCGCACAGAGAAACGCTCGAATTATCAGGCGACCCCAAATTTCTCCCTGTTCTCCCTGTTTGTCGGCTTCAACCGTTTTTCCGGTTGCCGGACTGCAAAAAAAAAATTCAACGACCTATAAAATGCTCTCTCCAAGACCACTTCAGACGGAAAAACGAATCGTTTTTCCGCTCGGTTAAAGTTGAAAAGGCGGAGCTTGCTCGGCGGGCCTTGTCCAATTAGCCCAGACGCCGGCCCCGGATCTTTCCGTACGCCGGTGGTCACATAGGCGTGGTTACTACGGACTACAACTATAATAAAATACCGACAGTCCACACTGTGGTTATAATAATATGGTCAGCATTTGCTGCAACGCTGTCCACGTCCAATTTCCGGATATCAACTGTGTTGCGTTATAGACAAGTAACGCGACAAACGAAAAGTAATTTTATTTTACATTCACTAGAGTAGTTAACAAAATTACAATTGACTGATTGAAATATTTTGTAAAAAATTGGAATAGTTTTTTTCAGTGCTGCCGAATTATGCTTTAAAACCATTTTGTCTATAGTGGTAAACATTATTGAAATATTTCAGAAGTATACGCAATAATGGCTTTACGAAAGGAATAATATCTGTTTTCAGTATAATAACTCTAGTTTTTTAAAACATTTTTTTGCTGTCATCATATTTTTCGTATCGTCCGTGATCGTTTTACGACGGCGCTTTTGGGATATTATTATTAGTCGGGCCGGGTCGTCGGCGAGGGGTGGCTTGAGTATTATTAAAACGATATTTTCACTTTGGCGTTACCGTGGAAAAAATATATATGCCAAAGAAAATAAATATAAAGAAAAACTATAATATATATATATATATATGTATTATAATATGGCAAAAACGCGGCGTGGCGCTAAATCGGCGTGTCGAGTTTTTCCGTTACGTTTAACTGACAAATCAGCGCAACAGCCTCCATCACGGTATAAGTTCGTCCGCGGAAATGATTGAGATGAATGGTACCACGTCGCCTCCACAAATGGAGTAAGAACACAAGCGATTTTAATAAAATATATACACACACACACACACACAAGCTGAGTTTAGCGCGATTTTTCACAAAATCATTCCGGACCCGCGGATAGCACATCACACGCTTCAAATGGTCTTACAGATGTGTGATTGCTGATAACAGATGACGCTCGAAACAACATCAGCCGCGCCGAATACAATATTGTGTGTATGATTGATGAAAAACCATTATTGCCTGACGCTCGCATTGCATGGCGCTCACCCTCCCCCCCCTCGCCCCCCCCCCGACCCGTAAGGACGACATCTCACCGGGAAAACTCAAGACCGACGTTTTTTGAAATCACTATTTGGAAAACCGCACCTTCTAAATGTCAACTCGAAAAACACAACCAAATTGTATCGGCCCGTCGCCTATGTATGTAATATGTTTATCAACTTTAAATTATTCTCTAAAACCAAAATTATAGGCGGTTTTAAGTCGTTGTTCGCAAACAAATGTGAAACAAATGAAAAACTTGTAATACAGGGAATATATTTGACGTTTATGCAATTACTTTTTGTAACTTTCGAGATGTTGCCATAAGGGTTAAATACACGTGCTCTTAACTCGGGAGTGCTTAAATTCATTATAAGTTTAGACATCACACACATATATGAAGTCGCAATTCTATAAGATTTAGCATTTTTAATTTTACTTTACACTAATAATGAACGTTGGTTTTAGCACAAATATATATATATATAATAACTAGAACTAGCCTAGAAATTCCTATTGAAGTTAGGAAAAATTCCATGGGCGCAAATCGCAATTTCCCTGAAAAAAGTTAACCATGTAACATACAAGTTTACCGCTATAACACGGCTGGATCCACTTTTCAGTTTTTTAGTTATTTTAAACAATATAATATTATGTTGTACAAGGGGATCTGCGAAAAAGGTGTAAAAAATTTAACTCGAGTGTTTGCGCGTGAATAAGAAAAGGTAGTTCAATTGTAATAAATCGTTCGTGCGACAGTGTTATTTATCCTTTTAATGCGTTTACGCCCGTCCGAACTTTAAGACGGATCAGGATAATCTATCGGGCCGTGTAATATTATGTTGTCGATGATATAATAATAATTATCATTTTATAATAAACGCTTTTCGACCGAACGACGGCGTAACACTCGAGGTTTAATGTCTGGACGGGCCTAAACGACCGTATAAAATAATCGCGTTAACAATTTTTTCGACGTTCTCGTGATAGTTATTGGCCGTATTAAGACGGTAGGCTCGAATTCAACGGCAGCCACGGTTGTCTTTGCATAGCAGGCCAACAGGTGAGAACATAATATTATACACGTGTATAACATGTCAATTATGTGCGTTATCTGGTCGCCGGGCACATTCCTGGCAGATTACACTGCCACAGCATCGCCTTAATACGGACTTTGTATAGGTACAACGCGGTGTATATTGTAGGCGCGTCCGAGTGGCATGAAATTCGGACGACCTCCCGTCGGGAGCAGATGATACCGACCATGAAAAATTCGATCAGTTCACACCTCGTCAGTATACACACACAGGGATCAATCGCTAGACGGGGGATGGGGCAATGCGCGGACATTAGACGGTCGGATTAAGCTGCGCTGTTTCTACGGCCACTGCATGAGCCCGCTGTTACTACGCATATAGCCACGGCCTGCATATGTAATAATAATAACGGTACGAATGTACGGAAAATTTTCCACACCGCCGAGCAAATATCAAAATTTTAATGATGAGCGCATGTGCACAGAGAGACTACGTTATTATTTATTATAGTGGATTTCTGTAAGGGCAGCATAGTAAACGCATCGCCGTTGTCTATATTATATTATACTATTATTATCGGGGGCGGTCGTTCGTATACGTTTGGACTAGGCATTTCGCGGCTGCGGTGCACGTATGTGTGTTTTTGTGTGTGAATCTGAGAGCGGCTAATCCTCGGCGTGGATCCCCTGCGGGGTCATCCGACACCTCGCGGGGATATTATATCCGTCATCGATTCGTCCCTACACGACTGTCAAAATGACATTTTATTTTTATTTCACTTGGCTCTCGCGCCTTTTGTTCGCGGCTTTCCGTTAGCGTTTCCGAAATCTTGATACGTACGTGTTGGGTGTAATATATATATATATATAAATATATTTTTTAGTTATCCCCATATAATATTATGTGATATGCTATGTTTACTGTTATCCGTAACTCGTCGCCCCCTTTGCGAAAATAATAACGCACATATTATTATTGAAGAAAACATCAAATAAATACAATATAGCTAAAAAGGTGTTCTCGCTCACCTCCCAGGCGAATCTCGAGTCCATCGGCTTAGGCGCCCATTTGCCCAGGAACGGTCCGTATTTGACGCCTTTGAGCAACTGCGTTTTGGTCCAGACGCCACCGGACCCGGCGTTGCGCACTTCGAGGTTGTACGGCAAAGCCGCCGCGTCCGCCGGCATTTCGAAAAAACTAAAACCGTTGTCGCCGCCACTCATCTCTATATCCTTTTTGCCGCCGCTACTGTTATTGTTGTTGTTTCCGCCACTGCTACTGTCCGCCACTGACGACGTCGAACTGTCCGACATAGACCGCTCGTCGTCACTCCGACCCGCGTCCGTATCACCGCCGCCGTCATCACTACTGCCTGTAAAATAATACGTCCCAGTTTTATAACAAGCGGTGATAAGTAATCTATACACACACATATATATATATAATGGAATCCACGTTAAAAGCTCACAGCTTTAATGGAAATGTCCTTAGACCGAGGACACGTTATTTTTGGCACGTTTATATACTTCAAAAGAACCTAACCGCCGAATCGTTATGAGAAAAACTCATATTACAGGCTACTTTCAATCGCTTACACTCGCTCGGCATTACGCTGCTTATCATTCACTATTACTACCGTTTCTTGTATGTATACACACGACGGATGTGTAAGTAGGTACGTGCAACTGCAGCAATACTGGTACAACGATATCCAATAATATTGTAATTGAAATCAACCGAATGAGACATCCGAATATAATATTTTATTTATAGTTTGGTATGAGAGGCATGTCGACATTACACCGCAATATTATCGAAATCTTCTCCTTTTGATATCTTTATACATTTATAATTAATTACAAGTAAGTACTTGCGTATCGTATTCAAAAATGATTGCTTAGCAGCAATGTCACGTGTAAGCAACGTAAACTAGAGGGCGTTCGAATAATTGAATACAGCATATTATCGAAGCGTCGAATAACAAAATGTGTATCAGTGATGAAATATCATTAAACCATTAATTGGAAACACGGTTACGGGCAAAGGCATTTCCTAGGAATAAATCCTTCTCCTTTTGATATCTTTATATATTTTTAATTAATTACAAGTAAGTACTTGTGTGTCGTATTCAAAATTGATTACTTAGCAGCAATGTCACGTGTAAGCAACGTAAACTAGAGAGCGTTCGAATTGAATACAGCATATTATCGAAGCGTCGAATAACAAAATGTGTATCAGTGATGAAATTACATTAAATTATTAATTTGAAACACGGTTACGGGCAAAGGCATTTCCTAGGAATAAATCAACGTGCCGCCAAAAGTAAAACGCGGGTACCGCGCACGGCTGTTGTTTTTGTGTTAACCGTCCGTGCACCGACGAAATATCACACAACGTGAAATCAGTATCTCACATGGGTCGTTCGTGTGGCGTATGACATAATAACGTACGACAAACATCCCCTATCTCGGTTTTAGGTCTTTATCGCGCGCAAGCCTCAAGGTCGGCGCACAAATATTTGTACAAAATCGTCTGCCGCCGCAGAATTTATTGCTCAACATACGAACATAACTCGCCGATGTCATTGTTTACTGCTTTTCGAGTTCTGGCCCCATAACAGATAATCGAGTCCGAAAAAGGGATTTTCGTTTTTACAAGCCAAATCCCCCGGCCGGCACGCAAGGTGTTTGGCCGCGTTTCGAGATTAAGCGAGGTGTATACAGAGGGCAAACAAACAGCAAGCAAACTTTCATTCCCTTAATGCAACGCCTGCCGACCGCGACCGGTACACGATGGACATTAATTCCCATTCGAACACGCCGCATGACGATGTAGATAGCTAATGTGTTCACATCCCACCACCTCTAGTAGCGTAACCGATGAGAGGGGAAGTAACCCAGCGATACTTGCCCACCTCTGCCGAAGTCCTTTATATTTCTATTCGCATATAAAGATAGAAATGATACACCGTATGTAAATATAGGTACGGGTATTCAAAATTGTGTGTCGCGTGAGTTGGAGTAGTATATAACTTCTGTTGGTCAAGGGGGCCGTGGAGGTTATGGATTTACTTATACCGTAGTGGGGAATTAGTAATTCGGGAGCAGTGGGATGAAAAGTTTGAAGACCACTTATAGATATAGGATCATTAACATAATATTTTATCAGAAAAAATGCGTTATAATATTGCTGGGAAGAAGAATGTTCAAGATATTACCTCTCTCTTCCCTCCCCCTTACCGCCAAAATAAATTGCTGACTACCATATTAATTTGTTTTAACGATATATGTTATTATTTAACAATAACATTAAGTTTTAATAATTTTAAAAGTTTGAATACATAATCGGTGGATCAGCTTGCTTCGTTTCCATCACCACCACCGTATATTATGTAAGCGCATTAATGTAATATTACGCACCAAGCATTATATTATATGCGCGTTGCACCCCGTGAAGTTAACCCTTTTACAATAGTTTTTTTTTTACGATGATAGGTATGTTATAATACTATTAGTAAACACATTGCGACCGAGTAGAACAATAAGAAAACAAACAAACGACAGTCAGTGTACGACGCACGCGTTATCAACTATAATTATTGTTATTATTAATTATTATTATTAATAAGCGTTTATCAGAATTGACACAACATTCAATTACCGCGAACTTTGAGATGCTGAACACACGGTTCGTATAAACATGTATACAACACAAATCACAATGTATAGTAATAGTACAACTTACAATAGGTATGGTATCTAATATGTATGATATTTTTATTATTACTACAATATAATATTATACAGTGACTATTGTCCTGCGCGATGACTAATTTATACCGTGCCGTCGTCGCAATGTTATGCGTGTATTTGTGTTTATCTGAACCTGCGGTTACCGAGTACTACAACAATAACAATAACCGTACACTAATGGTATAATAAATGGTTGCTTAGGCGTGCGGGTGCGAATGATTCTACTTATTTTATCCTATATACGTTATTATTGTAGCCGCTGTTTAATGGGAAGCAAATATAATGGTACGCGCGACACCGTATATACCTGTGTAAAAGTACAATATTACCAATGTGATATCGGCCGTATGAATGGAAATTCTTTGAAGAAAATCACATGTAATCGATAGATTGTGCTTAATGATAAGTATAGGTATATTTTTTATCGACCGCGAGTAATCGAATAACCCGTTCATGTTGAAATTATTATTGTTGTTTTCAATCACCGGCGGAGCATTCTGTATAATTTACATTACTAATTTATAGTCATTGATAATTGACATCGACGATCAATGAGTTTTACAGTGCGGAGTAAAATACTTGTCATATTTATTATATTTATATATACAGCGTAAAGCCCCTAGTATATTTCTGATGTTCGAGCCGCTGACGCCGCGATACCGCATTACGTCGATGTGTGCAATCATTTTCACTTGGGATTTTTATTTGTTATAATTTTTTTTTCTGCATCGACCGTTATCGGTTTACGCACTCTTACTTGAGCAAATCGGCAACTACGAGGTTTTCAACAATAATAATAATATAATATGATTAGGTATGTAAATTTGTATACATAGTATCTAACAATGATATTATAGCAGCAGTCTGCTACACCGTACTAGAAGACCAGAGTAGGGCCGCATCTGTGTGTGTGTGTGTGTCAACAAAGTCATTGTTTATAGATAGATTACACAACGGATAAGGATCGTTTTATTGGCTCTTATCGCAAATGACACCCCCACGGTGAAAAGGCAAAGGTATTTGGTGAGAACAAAAATGCTTACTTATAGTAATTGTGTGTACCTAATGCCTTTAGTCATTGAATGTATACATGACATTAAGTACATACTATATAGATAGATAGGTAGAGTAATTAGGCGTACAAGGTATTGTGGGCAAACAGATGAAATTGTAAGTGTAAAAAAAGTAATGTGAACACATCGATTGGCGTGAAATGTTGTTTTCAATATTTTGACGGATATACTTAAACGGTATTCGAGTCCGTTACGCGTTCGAGGGGTGCGATACTATGACACGAACGAGAGGATTTTTGTGTTCTAACCTGTTCAGTTTATAAGAATACCCTAAGACACATTGTGACGGGGAGAACGGCGAAATCGTATCGACTATTGTTACAGTCACAAATATAGATGGTGGTTTCATGGTAGGTATTCTTCAGGTATCAAGGGAGAAAAAATTAAATTTTAACAAAAAAAAATGGGCAATTTTCGTTAAAAAAAACCCCCAAAACGGACAAAAAGTAACACCTCCTGTTATGAAACACTAAAACGAGTTTCATAAGATCATTGATTTAATAAATATCCGACCAAGTATAGAAAAATTCAAATATATATCTTTTCAATTTGAATGTTAAGTATAAATAGTTGATGGCTTATTATCTATGTAATTAGTAATGCAATTAGAAAGAGAACGATCAACAAATAATGTTTGTCACACTATAATATAGTATTTTTAGGGTGGTTGTTATAATATAACAACCACCCTAAAATATGAATCGGATAAAATAGGAAACATAATATACATTTTTATCATTTATTACTATTTGATAACTATAAAAGTGCCATTTTATATTTGAGAATTTTAAAATATTATTCTTATAATTTAATTTTACTTGTATCGAGGAAATACTATATACCTACCTATCCTAACCCTACTTAACCTACGTATGCCGCCCAAGAAGAATAAATTGTCATCGTATCATTGCTTCTTAATGTAATTAGATTACAATAAAATGACATTGATTAATAATCTATTACATTCATGATGACAATGATTCCTTATTGATTTATATCAATGAGGATCAGTTTATTCTTTTCAATAAAAACAAATAATATATTGTAGGTTCTATAATTAGTATTCCACAGGTAATTATACCAGATATTAACATATTTTAAGACTTGTGTTTGGTTTTAAAATGTAAGTATGTTACAAAACAATTTTATGATAAATCGTATTGTTCGAATGATAAATTATCGCTGTTTGGATGTGACCGCAACTATAGAATTTTATTGCGCGTAAAATTAAACATATTAATATTACGAGAAGTTAACTAGGTACGTATTAACGGTACGGCTAACTTGTGGAAAAATAACCGATTTTCAAACAATAATAATTAAATAACAATTTCACTTTCCTTATACAACGTAAGTAAGAATAAATTAAAAAAATTAATCGACGAAGATTTTTAGAGTACCTAATTTATAAAAAAAGAAAATGAAAAGTCGAAGAAAACGTGCAAAATAATAATATAATATTATATGTATACCCAAACCGTTTATCAAACGTTTAAATCTAGGTCACGCGCGTTTAATGGATTAAGTAGTTTTTCACAAACAGTATAAAAAATGGTATAGGTATACATTAAGAAAATAAAAACCGCATAATAACAGAAATAATAATAATAATAGTATTTTTTTTTTTTTGTAATAATGACTTAGATAACTCACCTCGACTCATGTTCCGGACGGTTGGGCATGCACACTCGAGCACACGCGCACGCGACCTAATGTGTAATGTACTGGCGCGGGCTGGTTTATGTATTGCTATACGTTTGTGTATAGGTGTTTTATAGTCGGGTTTTTTTTTTTTTGGCGATGGATGTGCGGACACGAAATGGCGCCAACCGAGTTATGTCAAAAATTACATAAACTTGTATAAAAAAAAAAAAAAACAATTCCGAATCGAATAGACGCGTCTGATATGTGATGTTCGCGGTGACCACTATACTACAGTTTATCTATTCGAGTCGTGTGACAAGTACAAGTACACGAGATGATAATAAAAAAAAATTAGCGAGTGGCGGTGACGGGCACCGACCGAAGAATGAGATGTCGTCGTATCAGTAGACCGCGAACCGGATCGGAATGTCGACTGCGGCCGGCACGAGATCGTCGGCGGATGCTGCCCGGAGTGTGTGTGCGCGAGTGAGCGCGGGCTACACGGTTGTCCCGGCGCGGGGGTCTTCGGTCATGGGCGGAGCCGGGGGCCTGTGTACGATGGGCGGAGCGTCCACCCTGCGGCCGCATGTCGTTCCCCACCACCGCGTCCGTTGCCGCAGCCGCTGCCGCCGCTCATCCGCAGCGCTCATCGACTCATCACCGAACGCGGTCATCCGCAGCGGCCGCCGCCCTTGTCCCCGCGAGCGAATAGACTCTCCCTCCCTCCCACCCCCGCTCTGCCGCTTATCTCCCCTCCGTTAAAAAATCACAGCCAAGTATAAGAAAAGAACAAAACGCCTCTTCCGTAAAAAAAAACATGACCGAAGACGCAGAAGGTACATACGCGCGCAGGGTCACTGTAAATTCGGACGCTAGGGCGGAGTGCGGCAACCGAGTTCAGACCGGGAAATTACATAGGTATACCTATCATGCAGGCGACTTAAAAATATTTGGTTGACGGAATCACGGAAAATTTGTTCGGAAAGTTTTATAACGATTTGTTGAAAAAACAAATAATAATATAGACGGAAAAAAACATAACTTCCAAATATTTTTCTTCAAAAAACCAAAATATATTGATTTAATAGGATTTACCTCGCCAAATCGTAATTCGGCGTTTTAAGTTTGTGAACGAGTCAAGGTTTATAAAGACAACCCTTAACTGTAAAAATAGGGTTTTGCTATTTTCAATGGGTTTTATTATTATTTATTTTTAAATATATAAACGTAAGAGGAATTTTAAAAAAATCAGTTGCGCAATTAGCTACAAAATGTTCAGACTAGCCACTGTGCCCTTGAACTCGAACCACTTGGCCGCGTGCATACATTCTGGTAAATGATTTTCGCGGTGAGCAATGCCACCGTTAAGATTAATAGCAGGAAAGGCAATTTTTGGACCATCTTACTTACCTAATATAGGACCTCGCACTATTATCACTTATGTAAAAAAAATTGTTCAACAATAATTATTACAATATCAACTAAAAAATTATATAATCCAACAATAAGTATTATATATAATAAATGTGGTAAATTAACACACATATGATAAATTATAACAGAAATACATTTATATAATTTTAAAATGCGATGCTATATTTAACTTATCCAAATAGACTCAACAAATTAAGTTTGCAGCAACCATTAAATGTACCTATATAGGTATTCCTAAAATCACAAGTCACTTGGTACCTTTTTTTTTTTCTTTTCCACATGCATCCATGCATCAATTCACTGGTACCTACCTCCGTCAAAATCATAAACGTTGAACCATAATGTAAAACCAATATATTATTATTTATTAGCTAAGTATTATATACATATCATAAATATTTAGTGACAATAATAGCATTGTTGTAATTTTTCTTTTTTTTTAGAAAATAGCTTAAATAATAAAGCTACAAACATTTTTCTAAAAATGTAAATAAAAACAGATCAACCATGATAAATTTTATAAAAGTTATATAACTAAATAAAAGCTTCTTTGACCAATATAAAGTAGAAATTGCCATAAAAACTGTAAAACGACGCTGTGGGCATAAGTATACCTATTTCATAAGTTGGCTACTTTACTTCGGCCGATTATTATGTTTTAAAAATAAGATCGATGAAGAGATCTATCGATCATTCATCTCCTCGCATCGTACATTCAGATAATGATTATAATGCATCCCGTCGGTTGCCGTGGGATGTGGGTCCGTGAACTGACGACCATATAGGGTGTGGTGTCAACATCATAATGATAATATAATAACATAATAATAATTTTATAATACTGTTATAAACCGCCACGTAAAGGGTCATCGACTGATCTCGCGATAATACAACCCTACCCGAATCACATTGTATTCGCAAACAAATTTAAAAGAATAATGAATATATACAACGTATCACATACTGACAGTTATAATCATTTGCCCCGAGGTTCCTATAGGTAGTCTATAGACATATTTGTCATTTGTAAACTGGTGATCAAACGCAGTGAGCTTTTAAAGTTCAACATTCAAAGCCCACCTAAAAAATTTTTTTAAAAAAATATAAACCTAGGTGCTGTATTAAAATATAATAATCTGGAAATCGTATAAAAAATATCTCGTTGAAATCACATAAACTTATAATTTTTATATTTTTAAAGTTTTTATAATATGGGGTATATAAAAAACTTGTTCTATATCCTAACATATTATCTTCTAATGTTTATAAACATTTCATTTTTTCCTGTAAAAAATTACTAATCATACAAACCATACACAAGTATCATGTTTGTTATCTTGACTACCTCGATTTTGATCCAATAACATGTGTATTATAATACAACTGATTTCTAAGCTATAATTTAACACGTTATAGTTTCTCGTAAAATAGTCTGATCGAGTTAAAATTTTCAATTAGAATGAGAAAATTTTAATTATTATTATAACTTCTATCAATGGTATAAGTTTGTCAACAATTTACTAAATAGTAATAAATATCTTAAAAAAACATTTACATTTGATAAACTGCAACACAGTACCTACCCCGCGTTCTAATGAGCTTTTCCTTATTATTTAACACATAAATATTTTGTACGGCGAAACCTTTCGATTTGTTTGTTACAAATAAAACGTCAAACGTTAATAATAACATATCTATATATAACATTAAATACTAATAATACCCCTTATTCCTTGTACCAATTAGTATTCTGCATATATCTACGTAGCGTTTAAAGTTACATCTGGTTAATTATACTTGTCGTGGGCAGGACGACGTTCGGAGCGGTGCTATATTAACATTAAGTGAGCATACTCACTACCCACTTTACGCAGCCTTTCGAGGCTGCGCATTTTTCCCACGAATTGGCCGTAATAATTATTATTATTATTGCTATATAATATAATGTCCTACTTATTGTGCAGTATGCATTTATACATTGTTATGGCGGTCTGAGATCGCCACTTCGCGCGCTTTCGGCTGTACAATATGACCCGTGTCCCTGTACAAGTTATCACCGCCACCGTGAGTACATACACAACAGCGAAAATCCGTTAAGGTCGCCGGATGCCGGGCGCAACTACCGGAAGTCATTGGCGCAGTAATAACACATACACACCGGTTCCGACTCCTGGGCGGCGATGACATGAAGGCAATTGTTATCTGGGGACCGCCCGGCGCTTTCATACGTCAATCCGATTGCCGCCGCCGCACACATAACATTAGGTACAGACACGACGACTTTTCCCCATTCTTTTCATCCCGTTCGTACGAGTGCAAATTCATCGCTTTCGGTCCACTGACGCCCTGCGAGTGGCCTCGCACTCGCTTGCCGACTTTCGATGTAATATACGCTGTAGCCTCCCCTTTGGCTCCTTTTTAAAATACCCGAACGCGATCGTATTACATCATAATAGTAGAACAACGCAAAAACACCGTTAAGCGTTCCGGAAATCTAGCAGTGTGCAGGTATACTCGTAATTATAAGTTTTACCGTCATGGCTTATAATTTTTACATTTTTTTTTTTTTCGTTTTTGAGATTATCACGCTTAAAATCTTAAAACCAAATTATATAATATATTAAGCAAGCTTTTCCAAAACTATAAAACAAGACATATCAACTTCTGTCATACAATGAGACAAATAAAGTTAGTTGAAAACATGCTAGTATCGTTATTACACCTTAAAAATGTTTGGCGACTAGCGTCCTCTTATGATCTTGATAATACCCAATCTCGGCGGTGAATGTGTGTAAAGTATTAACTGAAGTCCAGTATAGCTATTTTTCAAAAAAATTACTAGTTTTGTTTTGCACTGTTCGAGATAACGTGTTTACAAACAGTATACTTGTATTAGAACTCTATTTCTCCGTTTAGTAGTTATTCGGGACTTTAGTAAAAATTAAATTGAATAAAATCTGTTTATTTTCAAAAATCTCTTCTTTTTATTTTCGCAGATCTTCAAAAACAAGGTTAACACGTTCGTCTCATATCGCGTTTTCCAATTCTGTTCGGTACGTTGAACACATAATACATAACGCTTCGGTGTACTTGGAGAGAGAGAGAGAGAAAGGGAAAGAAATGAGAGAGCTAGAGAGAGAGAGAGATTCTATTTCTACTTAGAATTGAATCGCGAGACGTGACTTTTTGTATCGAGTTTTTCAAACAGTCTGCAAAGTGTATAGCAGGGGTACGTTTCGCGGTATTGCACGGTGATGTAACTGAAATCCGAGTATATAAAATAGTTTCTTTCCGGCGCGGCCTGACCCAATTGAATAAAATATTATACACATATATACATACACACACACACACACACACATACATCCACAATCACTGTTGTTGAGGGCGTTTACGTTCGTTATAAAGCAAACAGTGAATCACGCTGGTTTTGCGCCGGACTTTAAAGTCGTCCCTCCGAGATAAGATCCTTTAAATCCGTCGAATGTATCCGAAACATGCATGCTGGTCCTGGGCACGAGACGAGGGGTCATTTATTGCCCGTGCTTCTTTACAAAAGCCGCTGACCTTATCGGTTGGTACAACACCAAAGTGCCCGGGATTTTTCAATCGTAAAAGCCAATTCCGTGCGAATTGAAAAAAAAAGGTGTCCCCTGTGACGCACACCGCCACACGATCGTTTCACACCGAGAGAAGAAATGAAAGCAAAAAAAAAAAAAAAACAACATACATGTATAAAAAGAAAACTTTTCTCCCTCCGCACAATGACACGTGTCCACCGCCTCTTCCTCGTCGAAACGCGCTTCTCCTCCTCCGGCGCTTACCTACACCGCTCTGGGCTCACACGTTATTATAAAAACTGTTTTATATGTATACACCCTATACAGGGCGATTTATTAAGGATAACACACTCATTTTCTCTTGAGATTAATGCAGTGTTGTGGTTTTTCTTTTAGTGGAGACACTAAAGTAATTAAGTTTATGTTATTTTACGATGGTAAATGGTATTCAAATAT